GATTAGCTGATTAGCCTATTTACTATTGGATCCACCATGAAATGAAAAGTAATAACATTAGCAAGCCCAAGAGGCTGAAACATGGTGGAGAAATAAGTAGATTAGAACGGTCATTTCAACAACCAAGTGAAGTAAGACAAAGAGTTTAAAAACTAGAAAGACAATAGAGTGATTAGAAATACCGAAGTTTAAGATTTGGGTCTGGGAACCATTTTATATAAGATATACAGATTGGGAGATAGGGCATTAAGTATTGTGGAGGTAGAGTAGCTATGATACATACACTACTTACACAAATAATGAAACACCATATATAGTCATTTAAAAATGTAAAAAGCAAATAGTGAAATACTGAAAATGATGGAAAGATATGAAAAGTGTGAACTGAATCGATGTTTGCACCTTGCTGGAGGAGGAATGGTTTTGAAATTGTAGTGGAATTGTGATACTGTTTCTCAGTCATATAATGTATGAGAATACACACATGCCATATAACTCAGAGTAAAGCTGGCAAAATAGTGTTTTTAACAGGAAGCTTAATTTTTAAAGCAAAGATATGGCAAAAGTTTTCCTTTTACAGATAGGAACTGTAGGGGAATTTGTTTGCCATAAAATAAAGGATTGAAAGGAAATGAAGAGAACATTTAAAAGGGAATTGTCCTATAATGGTGGTGGGTCATCTGACCTCTTGATCAAGGAGGCCAAGGAGACCCCACCAGATGGACTTGAACCAGTGTCCAGTCTATAAAGAGGAGGGTCAACACAGAGGAATCATTTCCTCCATGCTTCCAAGAGAAGCCAACAATGGTCGAGCAGGACCTTTGACTTATCTTCACGTAGATGGAACTGGTAAAAGAAAGGAGCCAGGAGCTCCTCCCAAGCCCACGGGACCCCTGAGGAACAGATCCTCAAACGACCTCAAGAGTGAAAAAAAAATCAGTCTATCTGGTCCAATGGTATGTCCTTAAACACCCAAAAGGGAAGTACAACCAAAGATTAAAGGGGCCAACATAATATCATAAGACCATACATATATATAACTAAAAGTTACTCGACAAACAGCAAAGCCAGACAGGCGATACCTTCAGTCGAGTTCTTGGCCAGGATAGATAAAGGCTCTTCCAGACA